GAACAATGGAGAGAGGTGGTTGTATGCCCTCACTCTGCCTGAGGTGTTTGTATATAGGGCTTTTAGGATGTTAATAAACTTCTCAGGCACACCCTTCTTCAATAGACAATCCCAGAGAACAGTCCTGTCCAACGAATCGAAGGCAGCCCTGATGTCAAGAAACACTACGATTGTTGGCCTTTGATAAGTATGGCGGTGTTCTAACATTAGGCGGAGGGTGAAGATATGATCAATACATCCTCGACCAGAATGAAACCCGGCCTGCTCCTCGCGAGTCAACCTTTCTCGGGTTTTGAACAATCTGCGAAGTATGACGGAAGCCAATAGCTTGGACGCAATCGGAAGTAGACTTATCCCCCGATAGTTGTTACAGGAACAACATGAACCCTTCTTAAAGATAGGGACAACTATCGACTCATTCCATGACGTTAGTACATTCTCTAGCTCCCAGACCTTTGTAAACAACGTTGTCAATTCCTTAGTCAAAAAGTCACCACCATCTTTAAAAAGAGCCGGAGGTAAGTCATCTGGGTCAGGTGATTTGTAACGCTTCAAGAGTTGGAGTTCCTTGCGGACTTCCGCCTCATTTGGTGGATCAGTCGTCACCGGCCATGGAGGGCAGGAAAATCTGACCGATGTTGCCGGAGCAGCAGGCCAGTTGAACTACCCTTCGAGAAATTCTGCCCATCATCCAAGACGTCGATGGATGTTAGTGATTGGCATCCCATCATCCTCGCAGATTGTTTCGCTTACACCAGACTTCTTGCTGCCAGTGGCTCGGATGAGTTGGAAGAGCTTCCGGTAATTACCAGATGCAGCTGCTGCTTCCAACTCATTAACACGCTTCGGCCACCAGGCTTCTCGGTCCTTACGCAAGCTTTGCCCAATTTCCTTACGTAACATTCTTCGTTTGTGGTCAAACTCACGGTCACCCGGAGTAGACCGATGGGCCTCGATGAGTTGTAAGGAACCTGCAGAAACCCAGTGCTTATAAGCGGGACGTTTCGCGAACCGACAACTGACTGTACCCGTCATTTTCATGGCGTCACGCAATTGCAACCAATGCTCATCTATACTTTTCGGTGGAATGGTAGGTAGTCTAGAAGCTAGCTCGATTCGATACTTACTTGCAACAGAAGTAGCAACCAACTTGCTGACATCAATCCTTTGGTGGCGGTCACTTCGTTGGCCACTAAAAAGTAAGGAAATTGGCGCAGACCAAGGCATGGTCAGAGTCCAGATAGGTACTCCAAAAGGAGCGGCAGTCTTGTACACAACCACGCCAGCGGTAGCTGATCGCGATGTGATCAATCTGAGTCCAGGCTTGGGATGCAGAGGGAGGACGCCAGGTGGCACATCGGCGATGACTGTGCCGAAAGTTACTGCTAGCCAGAAACAGGTTGTGGTCAGTGCAAAGTTGCAGTAGACGGTCCCCGTTATCTGACCTGCGACCGACGAGTCCCCATCGGCCACCTAAACGACTCTCTTCTGTGCCTAGACGCCCGACCTGAGCATTCAAGTCTCCGGCTAGTACTACAATATCTGTCGAACGCACTTTCTGGAGAAGAACAGATAACTGGTGGTAAAACTCATCCTTGATTGCATCCGGGCTGCAATCTGTCGGGGCACAGGCGGAGATGACGAAAAGACATCGTTTCTCACGCCGATTTCTTCTCACTTTGATGGAACTTTCCAATCTATCAGCACATAACCGACTGTTAATGGGAATCCAATCGATTAGTGCTGCCTCAGCTCTAGCGCTTAGTGCGACACCAACGCCAGCAAGAACAGACGAAGATGCCACAGGGTCCCCAGATAAGCGCACGTAAAACAAGCTTTTCGAAGCAACAGATGGAGAGCGCATTTGTAGTACTTCACCAGAGTCTTGAATACGGGTCTCAGATAGACAGCAAACATCGATATTAAGACTCACCAAAGAAATAGCCAGCCCTATCTGTTGTCCAACCTGAATTAATGTGCAAACGTTGAAGGCAGCCAGTTTGAATGGTGCACGTGATTTCAGAAAAACTGCTTCAGTATTCATATTTGGTGGTAACATACAATTTTCAACCGGTCAGTGACTCGAGGACGTTTAGATAGAACCGAGTTTCCACCATAGGCGAGCTGCTGTATAAGTCGAAAAGTAAGGATAGACAGAGTGGGAATAAAAGAGAGTGAATATGTGACGTAAAAAAATAATAATATCAATAATAACAATAATAATAACAATAATAATAATAATAATAATGCGAGTCACTTGATTGTTATTTGGAGCGAGAGGAATATTTTTTATAAGTAGATAGTTCATCATGTTTTTGTGTGCGGGCTGAGATACTGCCCAGGTGCCCAAACCGAAGCAGGTGGTTTTCTTAGGAGGCCACACTTCGAGCCTTTGACCTAACGGTCTAACCCACAAGGCAGTGGAGCATCTTGAGGAGATGCAGTCCCATGGTGACCAAGAAATCGCTTCATACGCCATTTGTTCCCACAGGATACTGGAGCCCATGTGCACCATTGGTTTGGAATCCGGTTAAAGCGCCGGCCATTCTCTTTTCGTCCTCTCATTTTCGTAAACAACACCCGTGGTGCGAGAAGGCAGTGAGTAGGACTTCCATGGCAGAGGCTATATACGCCTGGCCGTATGAGAGCATTTTGAGAGGGAGGGCGAACCCACCCCGCCCTCGGCCATACCAGGGCATTTGGAGGCCTTGTACACAGAATGTTAAGTTATCTTGTATGTTCAGTCTTTCCTTTTGATTCGTGGATAATTTACTTTGTATTGCCGTTGTCTGACAGACGTTCAGTTTATTGGAGTTTCTATTCACTGAATTTCATTATTAGAAGTTTCAGTCATTCGTAAGAAGAATTATTCGTAAGCCAACAGGCAATTCCAATAAGTTACTTGTTCCTGGGAAATAAATCAAACATATGGGACATTTGTTGAAAAGAAACTTATGATTTCAACTAAGGTGTCAGTCATGTTTCTATCTTTTGACAAAACAATAATGCTATGTAGTAATGTCAACATACGACCTATTCACACCTTATAACAAAGAATCACCAGCAAACCAATGAACTGATATTCAGTTTCAATTAATTCAAAGTATTGTGCAACCACCACCCATTATCATCATCATTAACATGATTGAATTTCAGTGGTTATAGTTTTTTACTAGAAATCTGGAAATTGCATCACTATTACTTACTTAGTTACTTACGACTGTTATCCACAACGGAGCATAGGCTGCCAACCAGCATTCTGCAATTCACTTTGTCCTAGGCACTTCTTTCTAGTTCTATACAATTCTTGTTTATTCTTCTTATGTCTGTCTATGTTTCTCGGTGGAATGTGTTCTTTGGTTTCCTGTTTTCCTTTGGCCTTAAGGATTCCAATTGAAGACTTACCTTGTGACACATTTGGATGCTTTTCTCAATGTGTGTCTTATTCACTAATGATTAAATCATAATTGTTATTATGACAAAGTTGTTTGAAACGATTAAATTTTCAGGCTTAATTGGTAACTGATTTCAGTTTGAAAAAGAAAAAAAACACATTAGTAACTAAATGAGAATAAAAAACTATTTTTTTGTAGTATAATACTATTCCATAGTAAGTATTCAGTACCTGGAAACGAGTACTAGGTAAGGATGGCAAATCAATTGATGAAGTAGTACAACTTCATCAGTTGAGATGGCTGGGATACGTGTTACATATGCCCAACCACCAACTGCCTCGATGTGCGATGTTCATTGGTATAGGAGGAGGTTGGAAGAAAGCTAGGGGTGGCCAGACCAAAACATGGTACAAGTCTATGAAGTCACTGACAAGTGGACTGAGTCACGTTGGTAGGTGTAGACTATCTGGTTGCGATCTGCGAGATGATAGCAACCGATGGTTAGAGACCCTGAATGACATGGCTCAAAATCGTTTGCAATAGCGCAGGTGCATCCACTCTTTGTGTTCTCCCAAATTCTAATCTTCTGCATTCTTCATGTTCCTTTATTTTCTTCTCTTTTCAAATTTGTTTCACTGGATCATACTCTTTAAATAAGATCTCCAAACCCTAATCTTTCCGATTACTGCTTATACTTTTACTATCTCTACCACTATGGGATTTGAATCGACAACTGCATCTCTGTGCTAATGTGGTGTGGCAACTCGGACTGATGTACGTACGTACGAAGTTCTACGTTTTTAGTGACTGACTGACTAACTGATTCAGTAGATTAAATCTTATCGGATTTGACATTTGATACCTTATGTGTGTAAATTTAATCAATATTCAACAGTCCTGTTGATTTTTAAAGGTTCTTTTACTAGACTTAGTGTATTATACCACCAATAGTAATAATAATAATAATAATAATAATAATAATAATAATAATAATAATAGTAATAATAATAATAAAAGTTGTTTCGAAATTGAGAAATCAGCAGATTAACACGCACCCACCCACCCGCACATACACATACACATAATTTCTCACAACAATAAGTATCCATAGTCTCAGCAAGGAACAAATCTAGTACATTAAAGCATTATCAAATATGACATTCAATACTTTGTATATGTAAATTGAATCAATATTCAATAGTCTCCTATTCAAAGTCTGTTGACTTTTTTTTGAAGGTTCTTTAACTAGACTTTGTCTACCAATCATAATATGAATTGTATGGAAATTGAGAAATCAACACATCCACACACACACATACACACATACACATATACACACTTGTGTATACAAAGATGATTTTCATTGTGTACATTTATATATTCATGTATATTTAATATTGACAACATCTATTTACATAGACACAAATGATATTCTACATGGTGTAATCAACAAAGGTACTATGATTAATTATCCAGGTAACGAAAAGATAATACACTAAAACGATAGATATACATATAAACGAATGACTATAAATATAGATGTACATCTAATGTTCTTTTTATTTTTTCAACTATTTCATATACAGAATAAACAAACTAACAATGTTTAGTTTGAAAAAAATGATGTAATTCACGTGTTTTCATCATAATCTATTGAACTTACTTATTAGATTGTTATATTACTTTATAAATGGAACACAAGACTATTGTCATCATCATCGTCATCATCACCATGATCGTCATCATGATCATGATCATCAATGGGAATGATTTCTTTCACATATATTTTTCATCTACTTTTGACTGGATACTTTACTTTCAAACACACACACACACACACCCACAAACATACACACTCGCACACACATACACACACATACAGATTGGCGCACATGTACTCACAATAGCCCATTTAAAGAAGCTTTCTACATATCATTCATTCATTCATTCATTCATTCATTCATTCATTCATTCAACCATCCATCTCTCGATTCACTTCGCTCAATTTATTTCCATCAGAATGAAATGGAATCTTTTTCATAAGAAACATTATACTACTGATAATCATCATTCATCTACTACACGTACAATATATGCTCATCATTATAAGAATTTAAATGGTGAACCATATCATCATAATTATTGTAATAATCATATTCATTCAACACATTATAAATGGTATAATTTTTTTTATAAAAATCTCTATGAACAATTTCATAATATAGCAAATATTTATTTTTTATTGATTATTATTACTTATTTTTTTGTGGATGATAGTGGGAATGCCTCAGTAACTATTATCCCATTAATTGTTATCCTAACCATCACAATGATTAAAGATGGTTTAGATGATTTATTACGTTATCATTCGGATCAACAATTAAATTCCATTGAATATCGAGTATTAACAATTGATTTTCATCGAAAATCAATAAATTGGATCTTAAAAAAATCTTCTTTATTATTAGTTGGTGATGTAATTTATTGTCAAAATAATCAATCATTTCCATGTGATTTATTATTATTATATTCATCTAATAATAATGGACAAGTTAATATTACTACAATGAATTTAGATGGGGAAACAACCATTAAACAATATTATTCATTAATTGAATATCAATCAATTTATTCACAATATTCAAATAATCATTTAATTGAAACACATTTAAAACAATTCAATTTTCAATTTATCATTGAACAATTATATTTACATGTGATCTGTCAACAACCCAATGAGAATTTAATGACCTTTCAAGGTCATTATGAAACCGCTCAACATTTAAACCATCATGATGATGGAGGTGGGGATGGGGGTGAAGGTGGTAGTGGAACATATTTACCATTAAATAGGAAAAATTTAGTATTACGTGGATCTAAATTAATATCTACAGATTATATCATTGGTTTAGTTATTTATACTGGTAAAGATACAAAATTATCATTAAATAGTAAAAATTCACAAAGAAAATATAGTACACGTGAAAGATTATCTAATATTATTTTATTAATGTTTATGGTTGCCATGGTAACTATCACATTCATTGTTACTATCATATCAACTTTATGGATAAAACAAAATATCAATAAAATATGGTATATTACATTTGAATTATTAACAATATGGCAATTTATTAGTAGTATATTTCGTTATTTATTTATTATTAATTATTTAATACCAATATCTATTATAGTAACTACAGAATTTCAACAATTACTATTAGCTTATTTTATATCGAATGATATTACTATGTATAATTCAATAGAGAATATAAAAAGTCATGCAAATAATTCACAATTATCCGATGAATTAGGTCAGATTGAATTTTTATTCTGTGATAAAACTGGAACATTAACACAAAATTTAATGAGATTAAAATCATGTTGTTTATTATCTAATGAACAATTATATCAATTTCATAATGATCAGGATCAAGATCAAGATCAGGATCAAGATCAAGATCAGGATCAGGATGATGATCATCATAATAATACTACTGAATTAACTACTTATAATGTATTGAATTCATCTTTGATATTATCACAGATGAATGAAAAGTTTCGTGACTTTTTAACTATCATATCATTATGTCATACTGTTGAATTAAAAAATCATACTCAAATGGTTAGTAATAATAATAATGATAATAATAATGTACAAGAATCATCAATGAATACTGATGAACCATCTAGATTTTATGAATATGAAGTAAGTCTAAGATAAATTAGATATTATATGTCACATTTTGTCATTCGATTTGTATGTCGGCTACGATAATGGTCGGGTGTTCAAAGTGAATCAGGTGGTTTACTTAGTGGGCCACATCCGGAATCTTTGACTACAAAGTAGTGGAGTAATGTTAAGAGAGATGAAGTTCCATAATAGTCGGTAACGGTTATAACTTGTGGCTTGTGTGTCCTGTTCATGTATAACGTGATGATATCACCAATTAGAGAGAAGTGAATTATCAATCGAACCAGTAACACATAAAACACGTGTGAGCAGCCTAGAGTCCTGATTGGTCCTACTTTCCGCTTAGCCCAGCCAGTTAAATCCAGAACACCAATCTCAGCCTCTGTGATAGGAATCATGTCTTTCGACCATACTGGGTTTATATACCAATCAAACAGACCACAACAAACCATAAAATAGGAAACAACATTTGTACAAGATTTAGTCAAAAGTGACTGTGAATCAGCGAGGTAGTGACTAATAGACAGAACATAATTCAAGAATGGTAAGTCGTATAATAATAGTTCATAGGTCGAAATAAAGCTTATGATAACAAAGACATGAATATGTATAGTTTAGTTACTTAACAACTATACGATAAGAATATATGCATAGTATTGGTCTATAAATGGAACCCAAAAGTAACCATTCATTCACAGTAACCAATAATAGGTCTATACACCATATGTTCCTTCAGTATCCAGAAGCTAATTTTTTCATTCTCTTGGAGTCACATTTTCACCTTATTAATTATTTGCTTATTAATTTTGGCTATTTCTATGTGAGCATATATATGTGTATACTTCCTATCCTATTCATCACATTCTCTGTAACTTATTTTTATCTGCTTATAAATATTGATTAACCGCTTGATGAAATCGAGTTGGCCAGTATGCTTTCTCCATTGTGTGCCATTTCGTTTCGTTTCGCTTTCTCTTCTTTACTTCATTCGTTGCGATTCTCTAATTCTTTGTTCCGACCAACAATTATAGAAAGTAAACGTATTCGAAAGCCCATTCCGTCCTAGGCTAATTCGAGTGAAGTCAATGATTATATAAGAGGATTGACGTTATACATATTTCAATGTAGATCAATATATGATCTAATTGAAGTCAGACCTCGGGGCCAATATCATAGTAAATATTGAGTGTTTACATTAAAATTACCAATATTAGTAAGCTGTAACCTACTTAAATAATTATTTATAACCCATTTGTATGAAGTGAATATTTCACTTTTCAATTGAGATTATCATCGAATAACAACTGCTACTGAAAAAGAATATTGTGTCATTATTGTGTCAATATTACAAGACTTGGATTTCCCAATTTACTCCATAGAAGATATTTATGAGTAGAAATTAATAAAAAAACATTTGGAAGCATTAGACGGCCGTTTCCTTCTAGTATGAGACTGCCCCGCTCTCGAAGTTCGAACACAGGATCTTCTGTCTCGCGCGCGTACGCTTAAACTTTAGACCACTGAGTCGAAATCCAACAATGTTAATATCTGATTTCAATTGATACACGAAATTATACCACTGTCCGCCATTGTCTTCAGTGAGTTACTGCCTCACAACAAGATCGTGGATATGCACTGCTGAGGAATACCACGATAGGATGGAACGGCCGTCCAGTGATTCCAAGTTTTCCATGGTGATGTAGTTTTAATTGACTCATCAATGCAGCTTTTAAATTCCTACAATCCCCACAAAACCTTCTTTCTGAAAAGAAATAAGCCTTTGCAATTATCCAGTAGTTCGAAATGTAAACCAGTGAAATGCAACTTTGATCTAAATGTTAAGAGCTCACTATTAACCTTCAATGTTCTGGAACTGACCGTCTGATGGAGTAGTCGATTGACATTGTTAAACAGTCCTAAACTAATATGAAACAGCTTTCTGGTACTTTTTGTTTTACAATTAATGTTTAACAATTATGCACACAGTATGAAGTTACTCAGATAAGTAGCTATTTTTCACCTTAGTTGATAGAATTCGGCTATCCATGAGAAAAAGATATACACAAGTTTGGTTAGTACTCGATGAATGCATTTGGTTTGAATCACCTTCATATTAACATATTTTATAATCTATCATCCTATCAATGAAATTGTGAAAACATTTTACAAAATTTCATTAATACACAAGAATTGTTTGATTATTTCAGTTATAATGTAGTGTATGCTACTGATGTTGACAGATATAAGTAGTATGTATCGTCAATCGAAAGTGAAATGCCCGGCAGTATAAGGTTAAGCAGATCGAATAAGAAGGAACGAGAGCAGTGAATGATTGGCATGGAAATGAAAGAACAATAAAGTCTGAGACGATTGACTGACTTTTTGCAAATGAATTTATTACTGTATGTTTCTGAGATCTTACTAAGTGATTCTGTAATTTAATGCTCAAATGCATTTGGTTGTCCCAATTGGTACTCTCATCCCCTATTCACATAAGACTAAAACTTTGTGTACTATTGCCGACTGCTTCATTATAAGTCAAATTACATTGACACCATTGGATGTCTGCTCAGCGGTCTAGAGGTTAAGTGTTCGCGCGCAAGACTGCCAAGCACTGGTTTCAAATCACGCAAGTGGGCTCATGGATGAGCACTGCTGAGGAGTCCCACAATAGGACGAAACAGCCGTCCAATGCTTCCAGGTTTGCCATCGTGGTCTAGCTTTAATCAGCTCATGAATTCAGCTATTAGATTACTATAATATCCATAAAATCCCTCTCTTCTTTATCTTTTTTCAATTCTAAGGCGACATCACCTGATGAGAAGGCTTTAGTTGAAGGTGCTTCAAAACTTGGTGTTGTCTTTTCAGGCAAAGAACCTGATTTCAATGAGACTGGTTCATATAAATTATATATTGACTATTGGTCATATTCATCAACAACAATAAAAGAGTCAAATAATGAGAAGTTTATTGATCGTCAATGTTATATTGTTGATGCAGTACTGGAATTTGATCCAACACGTAAACGTATGAGTGTTATGGTACGTTATCCTGATGGAACATGTTGTGTATTGAGTAAAGGAGCAGAAACTGCAATTTTAGATCCTGAGGTAATTTTACTTTATCTATTATTATCTATTTTCCTAGTATGTTAATAGTTTTATGGTAAAGTAACATCACTTAAAGCAATATTGTGAAGATATGTTAAGTCCTGAACAGTGGTTTCGGTTTTATACGACATTCCAATAATAGAGTTGGAACCTACAACCTTCTTTGAGACCGTTAAAAGTACTTTTATATATCTGCTTACTGTTAATTAAAAGTACTCATTACTTATATGTGATTAGTACTATAATTGTGAATATGTATGTTATCTTATTTAAGGGTAAACAGTTAAGAGAATGTGCCATAATCTTAGCTGAATTCAATAATGTAATGACTTATGATAATTATCACTTTTCAACCAATGTATTAATACTATATGATAATAAGGTATCTTTTTAAAGATCATACGTTCATCTTTTGTAAACTTTGAAAGGCCATAATGTCGGAATAAGAATCTTCACAGTTACGGAAAGAACCTTATTGAAACTGTGAACAATAGTACCTACTTATTTCCGTTCTGATAACTAAGTACTATGTCTATATGTTATATTTATCATAAATTGATCTTAGTTCGAGTATCTTTGAGAACCAAGGATCAATGAACAGCTGTTCAGTCGGGGTATGAGAATTGAGACCGCGCATCGACAATCCTACTAGAGAATAACCCCAGGTTCTTGAGGTATCATAATAAATGCATAGCCATTAGAACCAATGATTTACTCTTCAGCAGAGTTAGATAGTGGCTCAAAGTGGAGTTCAAGATGCACGTTTTCATCCTGTTTTAGACCCATTGTCTGGATGTATCTACACACATGTTGAAGTTACCACTGGGACTTGGACTCAGTAGCTTCCGCTTTAAATACCGAAGCGTTATATACAGCGTTACTACGTCCAGAGAAGTAGAGATGTGTGTAACGGGTTGAATTCCAAATTCACCCATAATGTCAGTTTAAATCTTCTTTCTGTTGATGTTAAGGACTACAATTGATCAGCCTCTTTTAGGATATACGAATTTTGTTCTGATTTATTCAAGATAAACAAGATTCATACATTTCAATAGATATTGGCCAATTGCAGACCTTAACAAAAACAAACAGAAGATTCAAATGACTTTCACCGGTACCATTATTTGTTTACAAATTCTTAGAAGCGAAACTCATTGCATTGCTGATCTAGTAACCTTAGCACTCGGTAGAATATGCACTGATAATACACTTTAAGATCAATTTACCATCAAGATTTTATATCAGCCCCCAAATGCTCTCACATAGCCACGTACACATAACCACTGCCAGAAAAGTCCTACTCACTGCATTCTCGCGGCATTAATGTTGTTTACAAAATTGAAAGGACGAAAAGCAGATGTCCGGCAATTTAACCAGATCGGTAGATACGAGGGATCTACCTAAGAGAGTTGGGATACTCTGGTTCCAAACCAGTGGTGCACAAGGGTTCCAAGGTCTTGAGGGAACGAATGGTGTATGAACATATTGTTGGGTACCGACCACCACAGAAATGCATCTCCTCACGCTTCTCTACTGCAATATGGATCAGACCTTTAGATCGAAGGCTATGGATGTGGCCCCCTAAGAAAACTACCTGATTCGGTCTGAGAACCAGGGCAGTTTGGCAGCCCTCACATAAGTTGAATGATTTATGTGGTACATATGTATTCAGTGCCCCTTTGTACCAATATTTATGTGTTCCAACAAATAAATAAACATCAGCTTCAGAAGAATAATTGGCAACCAACAACATTGATCATCTGTTTTTTCTACGACAATGAGTGTTCATGAATCATTCACTCAAACGTACATACATTCTTGATATTCATGTGTCATAATATTGGGGATGCCAGATCCCCAGAAATCACTTGGTAAATATCATATTTTTGTAATTTTATTTTGGAAATTTGAATTTCTTGTCTTTGCTCATAAAGCTCCTATTTTTACCTTCATGTCGTATTTCCCATTTGGGAGGACCTTAAATGTCATTGGTTCGTTGTCTCTTTTAATATGCTATTTTGTAACGTCTCCCAAGGACATTTTTATGTCGTATATATACGTTTAAAGTTTGCTTGTCGTTGTTTGTACTTACAGTTACTTGTGGAATACATTTCTCTCTTCTAAATCTGAACTTCTCTTTCTAATTTACGAGGCAGGGACGCATTGAAATAGTTAGCTTGTTTAGACATTATGTCACTCAGTCTTTGTTCCATTCGTAGATTAAGTGAACTCGTAATCTCTTGAAACATAGCATATACTAACTAAGATATCATGAAAAACAATTTATCAGTGACAGAGTATGATCTTTATCTTTCTGCTTAATAAACCCTTTACATATCTGGTCAGCATCATTGATGAACACGGTGGATCTGATGCATATGTAAAGGCGCGAAATGACATAGCAAGAGTAGTATATCTAAAATTAAAGAAGATATGGAACTCGAAAACAACTCTCTGTCAACCAACACCAAAGTTAGAATTTTCAATACAAATGTCAAGACAGTTCTACTGTATGCTGCGGAAACCTGGAGAACTATGAAAGCCATCATCCAGAAGATACAGGTGTTTATTAACAGTTGTCTATGCAAAATACTTTGGATTCGTTGGTCGGACACTATCAGCAACGACCAGTTGTGGGAAAGAACCAGATTTCAGCGAAGAAAGAAATCAGGAAGAAGTGCTTCAAGTGGATAGGACACACATTGTGGAAAGCATCCAACTGAGTCACAAGACAAGCCTTCACACGAAATCCTCAAGGTCAAAGGAGGAGAGGAAGACCAAAGAACACATTGGACCGAGAAATGTAGACATATATGAGAAGAATGAACAAGAATTGTATAGAACTAGAAAGGAAGACCGAGGACAGAATGGATTGTAGAATGGTTGTTGGCGGCCTATGCTCCATTGTGGGTAACCGGCGTAAGTAAGTAAGTAAGTTATTTACATCCATAAATCATACATTATCTATCTAATAAGGAAATTTCTCTTCTTTTTTCCTTTATTTTTTAAAGAGATGCAGTACTACATCTGGTTATCTACGTTCACGTGCTATTCATTATGTTAATGAATATGCAATTCATGGTTTACGTACACTTGTATTTGCGAAACGTATATTACATAAATCTATTTATATGAAATTATTAGAACAGTTCAAATATGCCTCTAGTCTATGCGATAATGAACGTATTCATGCATTAAAACAATGTTATAATGAAATTGAATATGATATGATACCAATATATGTTACTGGTATAGAAGATAAATTACAACCTGGTGTAAAAAATTGTATAAAAGCTTTAAAAGAAGCTGGAATACAAGTAAGTTTAGTATAAATATAATGAGTATCTTTCACTGATTGAAATCATGAGTCAACTGAAGCTAGACCACCATGGAAAACCTGGACGCACTGGACGGCCGGTTCGTCCTACTGTGGGACTCCTCAGCAGTGTGCATCCACAATCCCGTACCCCGCGAGACTCGAACCCAGGACCTACCAGTCTCGCACCAGGTGTTTAACCAACTAAACCATTGAGCCGGCGTCCAACGGTGTTAATGTCTAACTTCAGCCAGCCCCATACTAGGACGAAACATCCATCCAGTGCTTCCAGGTTTTCGATGTCGGCCTAGCTTCAATCGACTCATTATTTCAATCAGTGAAATTTCTAAGATCTCCACAAAGCCCCTTCTGATAATAATGAGTATCATTAAGAAATGGTTGTTGCTATGCCGATTATTGATCATTCACAATTAAACTTAATCTTACCTCATCAGATTAGTTACTTTCAAATTGTAAAAATATATTAAACACAGATGTAGTCAAAACGCTTAACAATTCCATTTTAACCCATTTAATTCAGACGGGATATACAACCAATATAGAGCAAACTTTCGCAATAATATATCATTTGAACAACAGTCTATGTAATTCTGTCAGACTGAGAATTTTGCAGACATAGAAAGAGGTGGTTACTTTAGGCAATTTATCTTCTAATCTCGAAGTGATTATTGGACATGTGGAAAATATTAGTCGTAGTTTATGTGAATTAAAATTCCTTTGAATTGATCTGCTTTACTTCAGCCTTAGCATTTCATTCGATGCATCGCCTCTGAGTTGTAATCGTATATCCAGAGGCATTTTATTCACGGTTGAACATTCTCTATGCTCTCTTTTATTGGCTATGTTGTTATTTATAAATTTCTCGGGATATCTATTTTCTTTCAGTGTTGTGTATAATGCCTTTGTTTCATCTTTCACCGTATCTAGAGAGCATATAGTCTTGATTCTATGATGCAGGGTCATAATAATGTTCCTTTTATATTGTAGAGGAACAATACTAAGAAAGTTTTTATATTGGCCCGTCCGATTCGTTTTCTTGTTTATGTTTCTTTTTAGTGACCCGTCTTTTTCTTCTTGTATATAGAATATCTAGAAAGGCTATTCTACCCATATTTTCGTTCTCACATGTGAATTTTAGGGACGGGTGAACTGTATTGAAACGCTAGAGTGTTTCTATGAAGTCCGTATAGTTGTTATAAAGGATAAATGTATCATCTATATATCGGCAGTAAAATGAAAAATTGCCGATCTCTTGTGCCAGTAGGTCGTTTTCTAGTTCAGAGAGGAAAATGTCAGCTAATATAGGACCTAGGGGTGAACCCATCGCAACACCATCAATATGTCTATAGATTTCAGCATTGAATTTGAAATGTACATTCATAGTACATTTTACTAATAATTCTTTGATGATCTCCACAGGGATTGTGGTTTCTAGTTCATGTTCTCTAAGTTGTTCACAAATATATTCTACAGTTTCTCTGAGTGAAACATTTGTGTACAATGACGTTACGTCAAAAGACATCATCGTCTGATCTTTCGTGTTTATGTTTTTGATCTTGTCAACGAATTGAAATACATCCTTAATACTATGTTTCACCAGGTGATTGGTTTCAAAACGGTTACTAGCCACTTTGCTACAGTATGATATGGGGAATCATACATGTCCAAAATTGGTCTTAATGGAATATCCGGTTTATGTACCTTCGACAGTCCATGTAACCTAGGTAAATGTGTACCTATCGGCTTAATTGTTTCGTATATGCTTGGTGGAATCATCTGTTGATCTCTGAGCTTTTTTAAAGATCTGTTCAGTTCATGCTCTATCTTATTATTGATATCTTTTTGGTTATTCAGTTTCTGAAGTTTTTAATGATCATTCAAGATGTTATTCATCTTGTCAATGTAGTCTATTTTGTTAAGTGGGACAGTTGCTGTTCCATTATCAGGTTTTGTGAAAATCAGATTTTCGTCATTAATGAATTCATTGATGGCCTCTTTGTGTTTTTTTTAGTTAATATACTTCTGTAGTTATATCTACTATTGTTAAACTGATAGCAGTAGTCAATTAGGTTTGATTTCAAACGTTCAAGTTCTTGGTCAGAGGTCGCGACTAGATCTTGCAGACGTCTGAAGCGATTACTATTCGAATAGAAAAGCTAGAGCTAGAGCTGCTCCTTTTACCTTAGCCAACTTCGAGGCCAACTAGTTACTAATCAATTTTATAATATGATGATGTAATTTGATTATTGTTCATTTTTATGTTTTTGATGGAGTTTTGTTCTTTAAGGTGGATGGCTTAGTGATGGAGCTTTCGTCGTTCTTCTGAACGACATCATCAGTACAGACGTCAAGTATTCGAATTTCTCCATTTGTGATTTAAAGCTTGTCCTGTACACCTCTAGGTTGAGTGGTTCTTGTTGACTTTAAGCCTGTTATTATTTACTTCTTTGTTTCGGTTGTATCTCCCAATAGGAGATTATTATTATTATTATTACACTTGATAACCTTTTTGAGAAATTTACTTAGCATCCACCCCTATCTACTATATCTGACCTAATTCATATTATTTTACATATTATGTAATTTCTGATTTGTAGTTCCATTATCCTCCCCCTCTGTCACTCACCCCATGTTGACTATATTTATTCTGATCATTATTTATCTCACAATTTCATTTCACTTATAAACTGATTCAAGTCAACAATTTCATATTATCACAATGGGTTTTATGGAGATTTTAGTAACTTCAATAATTGAAATCATAAGTCAATTGAAGCTAGACAACCATGGAAAACCTGGAAGCACTGTATAGTTGTTTCATCGTATTATGGGACTTTTCAACAGTACGTCTCTATGATCTCGTATAAGGGACTTGAACTCAAGATCTTCAGTTTCGCATGTGAACACTTAATCTCTAATCTCATACTAAGACATAACAACTATTCACTACACTTGGTATTGTTTGGCTTGTATTTTCCCATTGAGGTTTAAGACTGCAACTGATCAATCTGTTATTGGCATATGTGCATACTGTGCGTATGTCTCGATAGTGCCTTCATTCACAAGCTTTTTGTAAGCAATGATGAATAACGCGATGGCGTTTGAAGGGAATGATACTGGGTTCGAGTCCCAGAATGAACATCAATTCTGAGATGCAAGTACATCTAGCTGACGAGTCCGAAATAGGACGAAACGCATGTCTTGGATTCCACTACTTCTAGGTTTTCAATAGTGATCTAGTTTAAATCTTCACAAAACTCTTTTATCACCTAACTCTTTTTTTATTATTTTTCTAGATATGGATATTAACCGGTGATAAAGCTGAAACAGCAATTACAGTAAGTCAATCTATTGGACATTTTACATTGAATATGTCATTAATAAGAATAATGAATTGTCAATCATTACAATCAACAGCATATAAAATTTATGAACAATTAGATGCATTATATTCATATCATAATAATCATAAACAAAAACCTAATCATCATTCTATATTAACAATGTCAAGAATTAAAATAATAAACTATACTAGAAATTCATTTCATATATCCTCCTCCTCCTCCTCCTCCTCATCATCATCATCATCATCATCATCATCATCTACTTCAAGACCATCTTCATGTATGGATGGACCATACAATAATAATACTAATAGTAATGGTAATAGTAATAATAATGATGTTTATTATTATGATTCAAATGAAATCATCTTCAATAAGAAAGGTTGTATAATTAGTCGATATATAAGACGAAAGCATAAAAAGCATCCTGGTATGGCAAATGAATCAATTGGTCTTGTTATTGATGGAAAAACTTTACAATATGCATTACATGTAAGTAATTTGTTTGCTGGTTTTGTTTGAATGATATTTTTCTGTTTACTCTTATTTAGTTGTTTGTTTATTTGAATATGGAAAGATTGCTGGAATGGAGGCACAGAATGCATATGCACTACACAAGTCACTTCATACTGTGATATCGTCACTGTGATAGTGTTCAGGTGATCAGATCGAAGAAGGTGGTTATCTTAGGGGGTCACACCTGGAGCCTTCGATCTAAAGGTCTAATTCATAACGATGTGAAGTATTGTTAGGACATGCAGTCTCATGGTAGCCGATGACCAACAATTGTTTCATATGCCATTTGTTCAATGGGGATCTTGGAGCCTATGTGGACTAATGGTTTGAAATTAGGGTTTTTCAACTTCTCTAGGTAGGCCCTATGTATGTACCAATCCAGTTAAAGCATCAGAAATTCACTTTTCATCCTCTCAGTTTCGTTAACAACATTAATGCCGCGAGAATGCAGTGAGTAGGACTTCCATGACAGTAGCTATATGCGCGTGGCTATGTGAGAGCATTTGCAGTGGTAGAGAGAATTCTCCCTACAATCGACCGTACTAAGGAGTTTGGGGGTTTCTCAGTAATTGAACAGGAATATTTGTTTAAATTCATTCTTCACTAAAGATTTTTATTAACTGAAGATTCATTGACAATTAGAAAATATAAGGCAGATATACATATCCATTACCACTGCACCGAAAATCTATTTATGTTTCCCATTGTTCTTGTGCATATATAACAATCTCTCTTTATTAGGTATTCGAATAACTCTTCTTCATTGTACTACGAGTTGGAATTTATTCATACATCAACTTATCATTGATAATTACTTGATTACAGTTGACTTTATTATGTATGTCACTTTTGTATTCTTTACCTGGGAACTATTCGGAGGGACAGTTACTTTTGAAGTATTCAGTAATAAAAATTGTGATGCATATAAGAATTTAGTTCGGAATTGGATCGATAAAGCAAGAAGCAACAAACCGTAGACAATGTTAGTTGTAATAACCGCTTCAGAGCAAAGTTTCTTATAATTTATTGTACGATCACAAGTTTATATTATACAGAATTTCCAATTAGATGATGCACTTATTAGATATCAGTATCATCTATAGGGAATAATATTACATGATTGACCGAGTTGTAGAGAAAATTCATGATGATAAGTTTATTTATTTGTTTATTTGAACACAGAAATATTGGTAAAAGAAAAGGGCACAGAATACATATGCGCCACACAAGTCACTGGATTTGTGTGTGGGCTGTGGTACTACGTGGATGTCCAGATCGAAGCAGGTGGTTTCCTTATAGGGTCACAACTGGAGCCTTCGACCTAAAGGTTTGGATCTACAAGACAGTGGTGCAAAGTCAGGAGATACAGTCCCATGGTAGCCGATGACCAACAATAGGTTCATATGCCACTCGTTCCTTCAGGATCTTGGGGCCTATGTGTACCACTGGTTTGGAATCAGGGTTTTACAACTCCCCTAGGTGGATCCTCCGTTTCCATCAGTCCGGTAAAATCGCTGGACATTCGCTTTTCGTCTTCTCAATTTCGTAAATAACTGTCTAGCCACGAGAAGGCAGTGAGTAGGATTTCCCTGGCAGTGGCTGTATAATTTAAATAAACAATCATTATTATTATTATTATATTCATATTGATAAACTAATACACATATGTTATCTCATGGTCAAGCAGTAAACAACTATTACTGTGAATAAACAAGAGTGTTTAACTCAATTAATCTATTTAAATGTTCATTATGCAGTTAATTTATCAACCGATTAATCACGACCTGTTTTAGTGTCAGTTTAAAACGAATAATGGAATGATCACTTTGTACTGCCTTCTTCAACCAACATACATTATATCAAAGCACTACTTCACATCCTTCGTTTGTGGTGATTTAATGTCTATAAGCATATATAACCGTATTCTTGAGTAATTCATTATCTTCTTAGTGCTGAATGATGTTATCTTAATTGAAATTCATCATTACACAACTTATAGTCGGGATTATTGTTTTAAATCTATCCTTTATGACACTGAAATCACTATCTAAAAGCTATTCGATTCATCTTTAAAGCATAATTGAACTCATATCTAAACATTATGGTGTATGCTACTTATGCATTCCGATATAAGTAGTATATCACACAAACCGAAAGTGGAAAATCTTGCAGCACAAGGCTAAGAAGATCAAGTTGAAAAAAAATAGTAATGGAAAAAAAGAAAAAAATTATGAATTGGAACGATCATACAGAATGTAACGACCGAACCGCCAATATTCAGTTTGAACGTAGAACTAACGAACCCAAATTTATTCGATTAGACCAGACTACTTTCTTCTGTATAGCGTACGAAACGTTTTTGAGTTACTCGTATTAAATTATATCACAACACAAACTCTGTGCTCAATTTAAACGGTTCTACTTTAGAAAATAGAACAAATTATATCAGAAATGCAAAATATCTCAAATGGTTCGGCCTATCCTATACAGTCAAAAGTTTCTCTAATACAAATTAGCGTGCTAGACAACAAAAGAAACAGTGAATACAAAAGACTTCAGTACTTAGGAATCAATAAAAAGAATCTTCACAAGATGGGATCCGACATCTATCTGCAAGGATTCCAGCAATCTTCCCAAGCAGACAGTCAAAGGTGAACAATCACACACCGAACCACGCCGTGACCTTGAGCTTAGTCAAACACGACCTTATTGTCAATAGTCCAACAACATACAATAGAAAATTAGGTAACAAAAGGTAAGTCTTTAATCAAAATCACATAATAAAAGCTCAGACGAGGAAGACTGAAGAACAAACGGTGTGGTTAAAAGAGATTTCAACAAAGGTTAAAATACACGACAGGGAAAAGAAATAAATAAATAAAAGTACTGTCCAACATAATGCTTTGGAGGGAGTTTCAGCGTTTTTTCCGTTACACGGAATATGAAGGACAACTGATGGAAGATTTACAAATGAAGCATTATATGCACGGTTCTCATAGTTTACAGAGATATTTCTGTAATTGTGCATGAATTAGTAAATTGGTCTTTCCCAACTGGGTTCTCGTTCATTACAATATCACTACAAAGGTTTGATTTAATGATTCCAAATAAAGTAAACATTGAGTAAATTGTCTGTATCAATAAAAAAACTTATTGGAATCGTTGATTGATTATGCAACCATCGAAACCTACAAGCTTTGAACGGCCGTTTTATTCTAGTATAGGACTCCTCAGCACTTTGTATCTATAATGCCATAACCGGGAATTAAAACCAGGACCATCGGTCTTACGAGAGAACGCTTAACCTCCAGACAATCAAGTCATAATTTAATGGTTTGCAAGTCTAAGTTCAGTCAATCGACGATATTACAAGATAATCTTCCAACCTCTTTTATGGTAACCTTCTGCACATTCAACGTGATTTAACTCAACCGGGTTATATTCTTTGTTGTGTGATGGTGGATGGGGACTTTTGAGGAGTTCAATACTAGAACAAAACACTTGTTCAATGCTAACAGGTTTTTAATGATGTCTGGCTTAGATCCGTCCATAATTTTGATGAAATTCAATAATCTAGACCCCATATGGACAATAATGGATTTCAATAGTTGAAATCATGAGTCAATTGAAGCTAGACCATCATGGAAAACAAGGAAGCACTGGACGGCCGTTTCGTCCTAGTACGGGACTCCTCAGCAGTGGTCTAGTGGTTAAGCGTTCTTGCGCGAGACTGATAGGTCCTGGGTTCGAATATCGTGGGGGGCGGGATCGTAGGTGCACACTGCTGAGGAGTCCCGTACTAGGACGAAATGGCCGTCTAGTGCTTCCAGGTTTTCCATGGTGGTCTAGCTTCAATTGACTCATGATTTCAACTATTGAAATTACTAAAATCTCCACAAAACCTTTTCTGATAATAATATATTTCTCAGGATTTTAAGAGAAGACTCCACAATGTGAATTTTAGCCAATTCTGTAAGGTTGTAACACTTCAGTTTAATTTATCTTAATGGATTTTACGGTCAGTGAACAGTCCTGATGCTTATATGTTAAGTGTAAGCTCAAGCCAACATGCACTAATTGGCTAATTTTTGAGAAATCCCTATTAGTGGTTTATTATAGAATTTTCTCTATTGAGTTTTATGTGAACCCTTGTGTTTTTACAAATGAGTCTGCTGTTGTTTACTTATCTTTGCTCTGATTTGAGAGAGTTCAATGTAGTACAATGACCGAGAAATACTAGTCAATTGAGGATGTAACACAAACAATATGAAGTCTGTTACCCTGTCAGTGTGAGAATCAAAAGGACGGCTGATTGAGGCCAGTGTTACACGACCTTTAATGCAAATGGATTTTAACACATTAACTCCCCACATTTTAGAACTTACCACTAGCACTGATAATCTATAAGGGTAAGGTGAGTTGTGCTGTTTTCCAGATTTTGATCTACTATAACTTCTCCCTTATTTTGTGAGCTGAAAACATCACTGAAGATGCTTCTTGCCAAAAGGAAATACCTTACTGTTATCAAACTCCAGTTCAAATGATCGTAGGATTCTACCCTCGAGTTCTATCTTACCACTCTTCAACTAACCTGTTTAGCATTAGAGGACCTCGGCGAACAAAAGTTTTCTGATCAGTATAGGTTGTTTAAGTAGTCACAAAGGGAAAGACCTGATCATGTTGTCAATAGAGCAGGTATAATCGAGATGACAATATCTACTATTCGAATGAATTGTATCACTTAATACTTATATTTAGTATGAATTCATTTCGTAAGTGACGTTTAATCCATGCACACTATGATTGAATACATTATTTGTTTCATAATCTTGATTTCTTTTGTTAGACCTCAGTACGCGATGCATTTCTAGAATTATGCATGAATGTTACAACAGTGTTATGTTGTCGTATGACACCACTACAAAAAGCATCTATTGTTAAATTAGTTCAAATTGGTTTAGCGAAACATACACGTTATGGTATGAAACCAGTTATAGCTGCAGTTGGTGATGGTGGTAATGATGTAGCTATGATTTTACAAGCTAATATTGGCGTTGGAGTCTATGGAAAAGAAGGTCGTGAAGCAGTTAGAGCCGCGGATTATTCAGTGACACAGTTCAGGTAAGTAGTCCTACTAAACCTTCTGTATAGTTTTAATAGTATTTAATGCTTAAATTAAAGAATTCTAATAATATTGGATACCAACTCAGAGAACTAAACGTTAATTTCTTACTGAGAGCGATTTAAGTCCTGGGTTCGATCTCTGGCAGAGTAATGCATGGTCGCTGATTAGGAGTTCCATACTAGGAAAAAATGGATGTTCAGCAACCCTGATTTAATTTGCGACACCTAGAATTGACAATTGTATGGTTACATAGGTTCTCAACACTGTTTTATGGCCTCTGTGTATATGTGGCTTGTCCACCAACAAAATATTTTCTTGATTTCCTCTTCAACTGAATGCTAGTTTGTATTCTGTCACAGCAGGTTGTTGCTAATGGTATCCGGTCAACAGACATGGTGCATCTTGCACAGACAATTGTTTATAAGTACAAGTACATTTTGATGATGGTTATGGTAGTAAGTTTCCAAGTTTCAGCTCTGAACATTGTATTGACATAAGTTATAAACTATGGATGAAAAGTTTTGCACGAATAATAGTGTTTATTTTCGCACAATTGTGATGTGCTACTGTTGTTGATAGATATAGGTAGTATGTATCACCAATCGAAAGTGAAATATCTGGAGGCAGAAGGTTAAGAAGATTGGAGAAAAGAGAATGATTGGTTTGGAAAGGAAAGAACAATAAAGTCTGAGACGATTGACTAACGTTATTGAAATGAAGTATTTACTGTAAGGTTCTCAGATTTTACTAAGAGACTACATTCTGTGAGATAATTTAGAGGTATCTTTGAAAAGTGTCGGAGGTATGATTAACTTAAGTTGATTTAAGGGAATATGGCACTTAATATGGAACACTAGTAAATTCAATTCGATCCACGATACTGTGCGACCATCTACCATTGTCTTCAATGAATAATTCCCTCACAACAAACATGGTTGAACTCTACTGGATCGATCGAAATTAGACATTAACACTTTTGGATACCGGTTCAGCAGTCTAGAGGTTAAGCGTTCGCGCCCGAGATCGAAGGTCCTGGGCTCGAGTACCGTGTGCAAGATCGTGGAAGCACACTACTGAGTCCCATGCTAGAATAAGCGGCCGTCTAGTGCTCCCAGGTCTTCAATGGTGGTCTAATTTTGATTGGTTTATAATGTCAACGAAATTCAACAGTCTCTATAACCTCAAACTGAAAACTCATTAGCATTTTTTACGGGAATTTTCAAGCTGCTATGCACTCCGAATATGAAATCACACTCTGCACAAGTGAGAGAGTAAACTAAATAGTGCAAAATTAACTAACAATAATTTAAGTGATAAATCTTTCAACTGGACGCTTAAGTCGTTTCCTTAATCTCTTCTAATAACCCCAGACTGAATCTACATGACAACGTGAACGCGAAGGAGAAAGCATAAAACATGAAAGGAACACTTTACTACAGCGTTAGTTCATTTATAGAAAATCGAGAGTATTTATAGCATTTAAAATGGTCTTGGAATTCTGGAAGATTCTGAAACCCTAGTGAAGATAATAGTAGGATATGTAGTTATCCAGTCGAAAATGTGGGACATGATCTCACTTTCTACATGTTTCTGAGAGAAGTCTATTCAATACTGATTAGTTAAAATGTTTCTGTGTGTTTTCAGGACCCCTCTGTGCTTCTTTTCGAGGAATAATTTGGATCTCCTCAACATGAAGAATACTAGATCGTATTACAATAGTTTATAGATCCATTGAAAGCTTACAATATGAAGAATCTGGCAGTAAAATTATCTCATTGTTATACGATAAAAGTATAGATAATAGCAAAAACCTTTAAATTAGTATCAAGAGTTAAACTTTATTTGATAGTTCCCCCCCCCCAAACAAAAACGATCACGATCTTCAGAATAAATTATTGCAACTGGAACTTGACTGGAACACTGAAAAAGCTTGTATATTATTTATAAGATTATTGAGACCATTTAGAATAGGAGTAGAGCATTAATCAAATAAAATCACTTCTGTAAATCTTATGTAAAACTCCATCTGGAGCCCTTCTACGGTTATTGTAGGTCTCATGCAAGGATAAAGATAGAGATTTGGACATAGGATTAGCACCGTCATGCCACAAGAAATGACCTTGTTAAAAAGATGCTAAGATGAAAAAAATATTTATTTTCACCTTTTAAATTCTGCTCTGTGATTTCAAGGATCATTATCTAGAAGAATAATGATGCTTTGTGGTGAAAGCTCAGATTTGTTCTATTTAAGACTTGTCAGCTGACTGTATCTGTATCTCAGAATTGTTGATGTTCACTCTGGGACTCGAACGCAATGCCTTTCTCTTCAAGTGCCATAGCATTATCTACTTAGCTACTGAGTTTTAATAGCCACTTGCTTGTACAATGCGATGAAGTTTAAAATCATTTAGTATTGTTTACTTGAATCTTCCCGATGGTGTTTAACACTGTAATTAATTAGTCTCTTATCGGTATATGTGTATATAGTGTGTATTGCCTCAATAGTGCCTTAATTTACAAGCATTATAATCAAAGATGGATAGTGGTTAACAGTGGAATCCAGTTTGAAGCGGGTTTTGTCCTATTTAAGACTCGTCACCTAAATGTACCTGTCATATCTCAGAGTTGATGTTCACTCTGGGATTCGAACTGAGTATCGTTCACTTCAAACATCATTGCATTATCCATCTATAGCTACTGCTTCCTTGTAGTCACCTGCTTGTACAATGAGATGAAGTTTAATTTATATCTTCTCATTATTATTTAATAGATTATTAAGTTTCCATTCATATCATGAATAGATCAATATTAGACTACTATTGAACACTTGAAAGTATTGAATGTACTTGTCATAGAACCATTTTGACAATGTTTATACATGATCTATGAATCCTAGTAAGTGTTACTATCTATAGAAAGATAGAAACCAAGCCACCCACCACCATACCCATTACCCTCCCCCCATTTTGTTTCATTCTCACTATTCTTTACCCTTCTTTTCTTTTTTCTTTTTTCTTTTTTTTATAGACATATTCAACGATTATTTTTGTTACATGGACATTGGTCATATTATCGTATTACAATAACCATGTTATTTTTTTATCATAAATCTGTTGCATTTGTATCTAATCAATTATGTTTAATTTATTTTAATGGTTATTCAGATATTCCATTATTTGGTACCATTTTATTTGTATGTTATAATTTAACAATGACATTTTTAGTTAGTTTAGGTTATGGAATGTTTGAACGTCATATTCAAGAAAAGATTCTATTGAATAAACCATATTTATATAAAGAAGTAAGTAAATGATACGTTTTCTTTTATATATATCATAAGATCATTTATGAAGTATGGAGATTGTGAAGATCATGAACTGATTGATGTTAGACTAATTGTTAGCAACCTGAAAGTATTGAATGGTCGTTTCGTCCTATTGTGGGACTCCTCAGCAATGTGTATCCATGATCTCACTCTGCGAGATTCGAACTCAGGAGTTATTAGTCTCGCACGCGCGAACGATTAACCTACTGGAACATTGACTCGGCATTCAATGGTGTTAGTGTTTAACATCAACGAATCCATGAAATTGCGCAATCATAATTTATTAGATAAAGGGATTCGAACTTAAGAACTTCAATCTTGTATACAAATCTTTAATTATTAAAGCATTGAACCAATTGGTATAGAATAGTGTTGATGGGATTCTTTAGAAGTGAGCATCTATGGTCCTACTCTGTGGGGTTCGAACTTAGGATCTATTAGTCTCACATGCGAACGATTAAATGTAGACCATTGAGCTAGCCGGTATACAACGCTGTTAATGTCTAAATTCAAAAAATTCATGAAATTGAGCCATACGTCCAACATTGTCTTCAGTGAGTTAGTATCTCAGAACAGACCTGGTTGAACTCTATTGATCATGGATTCTCACTAAAACTCCAAGAAGCACCTATTGAAGCTAGTCACAAATGAGCATATGATGTTTATTATCAGGAGGGGATTCTGTGGAGATTTTAGTAATATAATAGTTGAATTCATGAGTCGATTAAAGTTAGACCATCATAGAAAACCTAAAACCACTGGAAGGTAGTTTCGTCCTAATTCGAGACTACTCATCAGTTCGCATCCAAGATCACATTCAAGGGATTCCAAACCACTATCTATCTGCCTCATGCTTAACCTATAAAGCACTAAATTGACATAATATTCTATCTATTTACAATTCATATTGTTATAGTTTAATCAGTCTCTATTCATTATTCTTTCTCATTTTCAATTAGATATCACATCAAGCAAATTTAAGAGCATGGTATATTCTTTTATGGATTCTAGATGGTATATGGCATGGTGTTGTAACATTTTTTATACCATTCTTTTGCTTAGCTGGTGGTAATTTATATGCTGAAGCTATTTTCTATGAAACTAAGAATAATTCATATAGAATTTATGATTTTACAATGATTGGTAATGCATCATTTATTTATTTATGGATTGCTGTAACATTACGTTCAACAATATGGACAAGAGATTTTAATATGATGTTAATTATGTGTCATATTGGGACAACCTTAAATGTTGTCATTTTATTTCTTTTTCAAGTAAGTTAGTTGATTCCACTACTACTTTCATTTTGCTTAGTAATACATTTCTAGGATGTGAACATCAACTCTGAGATATGACAGGTACATCCAACTGATGAGTCCTAAATAGGACGAAACGTTAGTCGAACTGGATTACACTTCTTACCACTATCCTACTTTGGTTGCTATACTCGCGTCAATGCACACAATATGCATAGATACCAATAAGAGACTGATCAATTGCAATACTAAACATCAATGGGAAGATTCATGTTAAATAACATCAAGTGAATCTAAACTTCATCTCATTGCATAATCAAGCGATTATTAGGAGTAAGTAGTTAATTGGTTAATGTGACGGTGTTCGAAGCGAATGATACTGGGTTCGGGTTCCAGATTGAACATCAACAATCTTGAGATGCAGATACTTTCATTTGACGAGTCCCAATTAGGGCGAAATGCTCATTCTTTATTCCATTGCTAACCATTATCCATTTTGGCTTATGAGTTTTGTGACTTCAGGCAATATCAAGGTAGTCCGTGCAGTATGCACATATAACAATAAGAGACTGATTAATTACAGTGTTAAACATCAATAGAAAGATTCAAGTTAAACAATACAAAATGAATAAAATCTTTATAGTTTTAATCCCTTTGAACATTGAATACGCTTTGAGTGAATTATCTTGGAGACAGTTCCAACGACTTTGTATAAACATTCGTCTTGATAACTATTATTAGATAACTCTTAACGATGTATAAATTTCAGAAGACAATATGAAGCATTGACTACAGTTTATTATTATTGTACAATTCAGATCATTAAGTTCTCAGTCACTAAAACAAACTTTAAGCAGCAATTCCTAATGCAAGGGAACGTAAGGGAGCGACTATAGAGGGAAATAATGAGGCGTATTAAGAGTCATATGAATTGAGAAGATTACAGGATATACTACATATACGAAAGCGAAGGCGTCGTTCAGCGATCTAATATTTAAGCTAGAAAGAGAGATATGTACGTGGGCTGTAACACATGTCTATACAGACAGGAGTATAATATCAAGACATATAAATAATTACCATTTGAATGACATAGTTTGATACATAAACTGATTGAAGGGCTTTATAACAGCTGACATACATTTAAGTTTGTTCACATTTAATTTGTTTAAACCCTTTTGTTAACTTATTTAACGGATAGAGTCATCCGTACAATAACAACAACTTAGCTTATATCATTGTATCTTTATTATTGTTACACTTGTATGAATATGGATGCTTGAACATTGTGCTTACTGCTTATGCATATATTCATTCTGCTAGCCTTACTATTAGTTGCTTAATTGATTCGATGATTTATTCATTTCCCTATGTATATGTATAAATATGCACATTTTAATCCTATTCATTCGACTCGCACGCTCACTTGCTTGCTTCTTAGCACTAGCTTTTCATTCTTAATTCATATGCCTATAGTTTCGATAATCTGTACGTGACGTAATCAAAAACATGATCAACACTTCGTATTCGTCTTGTAATTTATACACCGGTTAGAGGTATTATCTAGTAACAGTTATCAGGATGAACAGTATATAAAGTTTAAGGATTATATTGAATACTGACTACAATAGCTCGACGAAATGAAACGTGAAGATTTAAGGGCGAGACTCTAATTTATGGACGACCTTTGAACGGATCTTAAGCCACCTTGACAAATATTAGCCAATCAACAAACAGTCAGTACTGAGTAAAAATATATTATACAAAACCATGGAAATAAAATGGATACACTTCTTTTACATGGTTCCAAAACTTGTCAAGCTTAGAAAGACGTTCAGAGGATATAAAATCGTAATACGTGCAGTAGAGGAAATCATCTATACGCCTACAGAATAGTCGGCCTCTGGAGTCATGATAAAGTCTCAAATACTATTTCAGCCTCGATCATATAGCTTCACTACTGTTTGTTTGCACTCCGATTGTTGAGTACACAAAATGCTACTAGTGTATAACGACAAGATGCATATAACCAAGCCTATGTAGGAGTCTCTACGCTCTCCAATCATCCGTATATATTGTAGTACATGGCTGCAGCCCGTGTTACTGGTGCTTTTATTATCGAGTTTGCAATAATTGTCATAAGTTGCCTTAGTTAAGAATTATATATGGGGTTTTCATCACGAACTGATATCAGTTATGTTCCCAGAAGCTTATTCAGCCAAATGGATGCAAGACTTTCACGTTAAAATCCGAGATCTATTATCTTATACTTGATTGATTCGTCTACAAATTATAGTCCCGCCGTTTTATTTGTTATAGCTGCTCAGTTATCATGTATTGTACAAAATTCCCTGTGAACCGATCATACGTTAGCATTAAGCGCTGAAGTTGGCGCCGTAACCTTGAAATCTCTAAAACGCTTCTGATTGGCTCGTCCATAAATTACAGTGTAATTAAGACGTTATAAACTTACTATCTCCTGCTTTATCGCAACGACCTCACAGAACTATTTAAGATTCAAGACGGTATGCTATGGGTACTCGCTTACATGTTACATGTTATCGAGTATTCTGGTTAACAGCGTTTTTTTTTGTCATCATACGTCAATTTTTGTAATGTTTGTGCTTGTTACATAACTTTTCTTCTCATTAATTAGTAGTTTGACGTAGTTTTTACTCACTACCTAAGTGAATGCTAAGTCAGCTTAATGTAAACTTAAACAAGTGAAACTTCTCGAATCTAGAACCATTAAGGTCTGCTTATTACGTCGTTCTTTGGATCTTATTAACAAAGATAGGGAGGTTTAATACAGTAATTGGTATCTCAGATCAATTTACAAAGTAACAATCAATCTGACATGTACACTACAAATTAGAGACAGTTAAATTAATGTTTCGTACAATGATTTTACATCATCAAAAGACTGCTTAAATATGAGGACACTTACAATTCATACAACTTAATGAAGATCTAACAAACCCATAGTAATTGAAATATAGAATAGCCGCCTTATAGTAAGCCGTTCATGGTCATTGGAACGAAACGGTAGGCACCTTTGAGTGTGTATACCATTTTCTACTATTCCTTAGAAGATTGATTCATTTGGATGAAAACCTTTTTGTGTATAATTATGATTTCAATTGATCTTGGAAGTTATACAAAACAAAAACAGTTACCAACAAAAAGCAAATACTGACGAATTGAAGCATCAATTATTACCGTTCAATTTAAAGATAAAGCTGAATAATTCGATTATCAGAAAAGAGTTTTTGTGGATATTAAAGTAATGTTATTAGTTGGATTCATGAGTCAGTTGAAGCTAGACCATCATGGAAAACCTGGATGATTGTTTCGTCCTAATATGAAACTCTTCATCAATCCGCATCCACGATCTTGCCTCTCAAGATGCCTCGTATACACAAACTGTTGAAGAGTCTCATACTAGGACGAAACAACCGTCCATTAATTCTAGATTTTCCATGGTGGTCTAGCTTTAATCAACTCATGAATTCAACTATTAACTGTTGGGGACGTTAGATCCCCAAAACTCATATTTTGTAAATTTATCTTTGTGGAGCTTGTATACAGATGTATGCTTGGGCATTTCTCACCACCCCCGCACATAGTCGATTGACGAACTTATTGATTAAATGTTTAAAAACTTCCATGGCAATATCGATTATATACATTTTGTATAAATACGCTTGATTTGTGTGCTTGATGAGACTGGTATCTTCTGATTGTCTGTAGAATACATTTTCTACATCTTACCAAGACTTCTGGATCGAGTTAGCTGAGTCAGGGACAACGGACCAGTATAGCCTATCGAGTCTCTGAATTCTTGATTCTTCGTCCCATTCCGAGTAAGACGAATCAGTAGTAGCATTTAAGTTAACGAACATAACATTAACATTACTATAATCAATAATTCATTCAACATAATAAATAGTTGCTATTTGGCTCCAACATTTTATAATAAAATTTTATTGACAGATTTTTCTCTTTTTTGAAAAGATCTAACTAAAATCCAGCATTAAAATCAATTAACGGTTCTCTTTTAAATAAATAAATAGAAAATTTTTATTACAGACAAACGGTGAAGATACATGAATGATTGTTGCCATGGTAACTATGGATGATTTAATAATTAATTAAAATGAATTGTGATTTAGTTGGAGTGTGAGAAATTACAGTCAGTTAATAGTATACTAAGCGGTTCACTGTTATGCACAAAGATAGATAATGGATAGATGTGTAATCCAGTTTGACGCGCATTTTGTCCTATTTGGAACTCGTCAACTGGATGTACATACATCTCAAAGTTGATGTTCATTTTGAGGTTCCAACCCAGTACCGTTCGCTTCAAACATCATCACGTTATCCACTTAGTTACTGAGTCCGGATAGCCACCTGCTTAGGCTATGGTGTGAAGTTTAAATTCACTTGGTATTATTTTACTTGAATCTTCCCATTAATGTTTAAAACTGCAAGTGAACAGTCTCTTATTAGCATATGTGCATACAGTGCGTATTGCCTCGATATTGCCTTAATTCACAAGCATTGTAATCAAAGATGGATAGTGAGTAGTAATGAAATCCAATTTGACTCATGTTTCATCCTATATGTGACTCATCAGCTGGATGTACCTAAATCTCAGGTTCATTGTTGCTTCTTATTCGAATATGTTATAATTTTACATAATCATTTAACTATAATTAAGATTATTTTAGGTTTATTTGACATAATTTCATTGAATGTTATTACAATTGAATGATACTTTAGAAATACTGGCTTAATTTTTACAGGCAGATTATACTGATCTCTGCAAAATCTCTCAGATAGATTACAATCGTGTATTCATTGGAGATTCGCTTGAAGACAGAGTTTTTCTGTGCATTTCGAACTCCTATCACAGTTCTAGATGTTACCGTCAAGCTATTAGAACCTCAGACTTTAAACTATGCTGTAATGAGCTGGAATCCTTGTAGTAAGGATTATTTCCTTCAGCATTGTATGTAGGTAAATCTTGCTACTGTAGAGTAGTGACTATCAGAAAACCTAGGTAAAGGAATTTCTTATGACCATCTCTCATCACCTAAGTTCTAAGCACAAAGCATATGATCTCAAGCCGCTTGTACTAGGGGTTGCAATACAACTCAGTCGATCAAATTCAATCAACACTAACGAATAAACAAGCAATACGTTTATCAGTACTAATTAATCAGTCCCTATGAAGATGGAGATCCTGAAGTTTTAGCAATGCTTATTGTATTGATTCAGTTATGTTGAGAGTGAGAGGTTTAACACAATTTATTATAAATGACTAATGTAATTGTATTATTATTTAAGTGAGATCAAAAATATGAACCATAAGATCCTAAGTTAGTTATCATTCGGTTAACTTGATGAAACAATAATAACAACTATTTGAGTAATAAACATCGGGTTCAGTTTTTAGAGACCCGTGAAGCTGACTCCAATCAGGGGAATTGACTTATCAGCCATCTCCACTGCGTGTCATTTTGCTATGTTCTATTACATTCACTTTACATACAAAATATATGTATTCAAAGGCCATTCTCGTTAATTGACTTATCTAAATTCCGTTATTGACTAACGTGATTTAAGTCGATGATTATATACGAGGATAGGTGATAACAAACATTCATACGATCTAATTGGAGTCAGATCCACGGGCCTCTAAAAGTTCAACTTCCTTGATCCTTTTATAGATTATCAGTTAGTTGTACTATTTCAATGAACAAAGTGTTATAGACCTAGTGAAACCTCCTGAATGAAATGATGTCTCTCAAATATATATAAGATATTTCTTTAGAAATATGTAACTTTGTCTGTTATGGTAATGGAATAGCTTGTAATTGTCGTCTTCTACTTTAAATAGAATACTTATATGGTAATCATTTTCATCTTGAAAGTGAATCTTAAGTTTTACCTTAAACAAAAGTTTCTTGAGAAAAGATGGTGGTTAGAGGTAGTCAAATTCTATCAACTAAGGTTTCTTGTCGATTACTTTCAACAACCATCTTATCTCAACATAGAACATCCAAGGTTGAGTCACCTAGACCGATGACCATATTGCATCTTTGTCGATAAGATTCGATCTACACTAAGAAGGACCTGATATACATGACATTGATCACCACTCAGTGATCAATTAATTGTATATAAGCGTTTCTATAGTATAAAATAAGAATTTCTACTATTCTAATGAGACTTTATCACAACAACCATTGGAAGTATAAAAGAACACGGGATCTATTTGTTTTATCATTGGAATTGATATTACAGTGTTGATCTCATCTAAATGGGAGAATAATCTATGATATATTCAGAGTGAATTCATTATTTAGCTCATATTGGAACACTTCTTAATGTATGTTAGAACAAAGAAAATAGATTGAGATTTCTTAAAATGCTTTCATAAGACAAGTTAGAAACATATTCCATCATTTCAGTCCCTACAAGTTAAACTTACTCTAGAATATCTGCTTTATAATTAGATTAGATATCAAAAACACTGTTATATATATATATATATATCGGATACCACATTATAAATGACTTGGCAAGCGTCACAAGACCAAGAAACCTTTTGAATTACCTAGTGTTTCATGGATGTTCTTTACTATAATTTCTCTTTATCCTGGTAATTGACTCGATGGATCATGAAGACGTCAACATCTGGGGAAAACCATGGGATACAGTGGACAGATAGCATGAAGCTGGAAAATTTAGACTTCGCTGATGATCTGGCTATCATATCGCATATGCAACAACAAATGCAAGAGAAGACGACCACTGTGGCAGAAGCCTAAGCAGCAGTAGGTCTCAACATACACAAGGGGAAAAGAAAGATTCTCTGATACAACACAACACGCACCAATCAAATCACACTTGACGGATAACCTTTGGAAAATGTAAAACCACTCACATATCTAGTCAGAATCATTGATGAACACGGTGGATATGATGCATATGTAAAGGCGCGAATCGACAAAGTAAGAGTAGCAGATCTACAATTAAAGAACATTTGCAACTCAAAACAACTGTTCGTCAACCAACACCAAAGTCAGAATTTTCAATACAAATATCAAGACAGTTCTACTGTATGGGACGGAAACTTGGAGAACTACAAAAGCCATCATCCAAAAGATACAGGTGTTTATTAACAGTTGTCTACGTAAAATACTTCGGATCCGTTGGCCGGACATTATCAGCAATAATCCACTGTGCAAGAGAACAAACCAGATCCCAGCAGAGGAAGAAATCAGGAAGAAGCACTGGAAGTGAATAAGACACACATTGAGGAAAGCATCCAACTGAGTCACAAGACAAGCCTTCACATGAAATCCTCAAAGTCAAAGGAGAAGAGGAAGACCAAAGAACAAACTCCGCCGGGAAATACAGATAGACATGAGAAGAATGAATAAGAATTGTATAGAACTAGAAAGGAAGACCGAGGACAGAGTGGGTTGGAGAATGCTGGTCGGCAGCCTATGCTCCATTAGAAGTAACCGGCGTAAGTAAGTAAATAAGTAATTTACCATTCATTATAATCAGTGACTTTAAGTAAAGGGATTTCCTTATTTTATGGTGATATGAACAGTCAGAATAAAAAGTCTATACTGCGGCACTTTAGCTAGGATTTAGTCCTAATGACCATCGATTTGTTCACTATATAACATTGTCCATATAGCTCATTGAGAGTTCTATATAGAATCTACATTTAGAGTATCCTGAAGGTTTTTCTTCGATTATATTTAGCCCCAATTAATTAAAAACAAATGAAAATATACAGTGTTTTACGAACAGAATACCTATATTCTAACTACATTACCACTTTAAACTAACGTATGTTTTGTAAATCTTTATCCCGTCCTAATTACACAGACATTTGTTCCTTCTACAAGTAATGAATATCAAAGATATGCTCAATTATGTCGAAGTCCTGCATTTTGGCTCACATTCCCATTAACTGTTTTTATAGCCAATATTCCAGGATTAATTTGGCGTTTAGCCTCAGATACATGGTGGACTATACGTATTGAATTGAAAAATTCACCTAAAAAATCCCAGCGTAAATCTTATTTGAATAATCCATTAGTTTGGTTGAAAGCATTCGTTTTTGGTCAAACAGAAGAAAATGAACCAATCCTTCAGAAAAATGAAAATGATATAAACACTTTTAAAGAACAAATAAATCATAGTTACCAGTCATAAAACATGTTATTGTTACTACGTGTATCCCTTGGATACAAAGAATAATTAGTTTATCTTGTGAATTTTTTGCAAAACATGCAAACTATTTCATTTGAAGAAAAGATTCCTAGTCTTCCTCTATGTTTTTCTATTTTATTTTGTAACTAAATACTGTAAATCTACTTTCATTTCTTCATATAGTGCAATAATATAAAGGCACATTGTAATATAAATTTCGGTTAAACTATTTGCCTACTCATGAGTAAGCAAACTTTGATAGACAAATTATTTGTTGCTTATTTCGATTATTATTAAAACCTGTTGTGTACAATGTGATTAATTTGATGAATCATTTCTGTACCTTTGATAAGTTACACAAAGTGTGTGTGTGTGTGTTTCTAAGACGGTTAACATTTACGTATACATAATAAGTGTACAAAATATATTGTATGCACTGCTTAAACATGAATGGTTTTGTTTGTATTGTGTTATGATGTACCGAATTTCAACAATTTCATGACAACGTCACATATTGATACGATTATTATTGTCAGCTGATTCTGATAATGTTTACCTGGCTTTAAAAGAAAAAAGACAAACTCAGAATGAAACGTTTATCCATTTTAAAATAACTGACTGATAACAACTTTCATTTTGTTTTAAATCATATGCTCTACAAAGTTTTCTTTATCACAATGATGTATGTGTGACTGAGATACGTCTCATTTCTAGCTATATTCAATGAGATAACTGAGTGTTTTTGAAAAATCTGATTATACAGAACCATAAAACTCCGATTTCATGGATGTATAATGATAAAATGTCTCCTGATAAATGGCCACTAAAGTTGTTTCAAGATTGACCTAATCGATCACTGAAATTCAGATGTCAGTTATCATCAGTGACGTTTAGTCACAACTCAATATAATAGCATGTCATAATGTTGTGGTTTAAAAGAATTTGATCATATTAACATCAATTATTACTAAATCGAGAGCAGAGAATTATAAGACAACTCAACATCGTTAGTTCATGAAAAAAGTGAACCACGTAATTTATACTACATAGATCAAATTCGCTAGTTGGTTGGTATAGCAGTATTTCATTTACATGTTGGATCTCCGATGAAAACTATGAAGTCGGGTGAGATGAAGAACATTTCAGGTATGTTCAAAGGCTCAACCTTGAATGTGAATGGTGATAATGGATCATAAAACTTCAGGGTGATCCTTAGCAGAAGGAACTGTACGAACCAGATTGTGAGACTTGGTGCAAAACATTTGAATACAATCACATAAATATAAGTGTCATGCATGAACATTCAGGTTAAAATATCCAATTTATTGTTTAATGCACCACCACACAGTGGTTTAGTAAAATGTGAAGACCATACATCATATACTTCATTTGAACATCTGTCAGTTGTCCCTCACAAATTCATCATTCCTTTTTTTCGTTATTATAATTACTCTCTGCCTATGTTTCTACCCTCCTCGATTCGATCTTCTCAACCTTCTGCCGCCAGACATTCAACTTTTGACTGGTGTTACACACTACTTGTATCTGTCAACATAAGTAGCATACACCACACGTCTATAAAGAAACCAAGCGCATAAATATGCTCAATACTTTTAGCGGCCTGCTGACTTGCACACAGACGAGATTTATGGATCTTAAAACATATCGTAGAGTAATTTCACTATATTAACCACAATAAGTCGCAAGTTATGATGTAGTTCAATGTAGGCCACATATAGAGACAAACTTTAGAGACTGTTGTAGTATGATCATTAGAAGTATTGAAACTGATTCGCTTACTAAGAATTCCCTCAATTTAACGCAGGTAAAATTAGATGAGCAAAATTGAACGTATTATATTTGAGATTCGTAATAAGCGTGCAATCATTTACAAAGGGATCCTCAGTTAATATAAAAATAACAGCCGCCACGGCTTAAACGAGAACCCAGATTTCTATAGTGTATTGTACGTCTTTTCTTTAGGTCTATCATCTGTATGTCAGACTGTGTAATGGATAAACTCTGTATAATCTATGATGTACTCATTATTACGACAATCGACGACGGAAATCGGAACAGGCTTACCTGGGTCATTGTGACGTATACGGCTTTTGTGTCTGACTTGCATATATATCCTAGATTTATCAAAGATTTTTAGCAGACCTCTAGTAGACCGCAGAAAATCAGTTCCTCGATAGTATGCGGCAACAAAAAATATGCAAGCCACATTTTTCGATGAATCTATTTCGCTTAAGCGCACTTCTGAGTCTCTTGTTAGGATGAAATGGCTTTTCAGTGCTTCCGGGTTTTCAATGGTGGTCTAGCTTAAATAGACTTGTAGTGACCTACTTTTGTCAACAGAACGCGATTGGTGTAGTGGAAACAATTACTATTATAACCAATTGTACCGGGGATTGTTTTACCGTACATTTTTATTAACTGTACCAAAACACATACATTCTTCCGTCGCTTGTGACCTTACACGAATTCGGTTACTCTCAGCAACCACACTTGTAGCCCGGCACGACCGCTAACAAATACATCTTGACCACAGCCATTAACTACCTCCTGATATTTGGCCTTATCTTATCGGTTAACTGACACGTAATCTTCATGTAGTGGTGATCATAGTCGACCACAACTCGACGACACACTACAGACTTATGAATTCAACTAATAACATTACTACAATATCCACAAACCCTCATTCTGATTTCATAATTGTTTTCATTGCGTAATTCAGCACAAAAGACTCCACCTAATTAGTTAATTTGTGCTAACTGATGACTCATTTATACTTGATCGAGCGGTTATTACAAATTTCAAATATAATACATCCATTTTTGTTCAACTAGTTTTACCTACCTTAAATTGCACTACCTTGAGAATTTTTATCTATTAAACCAGTTTGAATACTTCTAATTATGATAACGACGACGTGATGGGGCCTGTTACTGAACAGATAGATATACGTTCAAATTCTGAAGCTTTCGAGGATTACATTGAAAGGTTTGAAAACTGGAGTATGACCAAGAAACATGAGGATGGTAAAATTGTGACTCATTTCCTTACATCAACCAGAAAAGATTCCTACAGCTTACTAAAAAATTTGACATTTCTAGATGATGCTATTTCACTTCATTATGGAGCTCTCTAAGACCTCTACTAAATCTTGTAAACGGTACAAATTCTGAATACCATGAAAGAGTGAAATTTCACAAAGTTGCTCTTCAAAACAACCGAAAATTTAATGGGTTTGTCTTTGAATCGCAGATACATGCCGCTAAGTGAAATTCCGGTAGTGAATTTCATGTCCATGTGCATTGTAGATCACCAACGTAGATGATCTATGTCGAAATGATTGGAGGCCTACTCGAGTTAGACGTGAATGGTGTGACAAACTAGCTAATGTCGAAGTCACACCTCATGGTCAACACCTTACGTGGACCACCCCATTAACGTATCAAGGTACCATAGATGATTTGAAGACTGTACAACACAGGGGACGTCGTTACAGAAATATATTAGTTAAAGTAAATACAAGCGAAAGTAAGACCACTGCCGCATGGGCCAGTCCATGGCATACGATTAACTAATGCGCGTTTTTTGTGCATGACCTTGGCAGGGAGCGACGATCTGTTCGACATTCAGTGATCCAACTGCCAGATGGTTTGGCTAGGGCTCAGTGACATTTCACTGGCCCTACAGCATGATCAAGTAGTCGCTAAATCTGGGAATAGAGCTCATACAAATGCCAAAGTGTTCCTTCTAAGCTGCTACAACTGTGTTTATTAATTGTGAGGGAGTGCATGAAATTGACTCTCGGGATATCAAGAATTCTACCACATTACTTAGTTGTCTTAATCCGATTCGTACCTAAGGTCATACGTGTAGATGTCAACTTGGCAATAATCTCCATGTGGAAAAATTTATTCACTTAATCTATGTGCATTTCATCATGCTATATGCCCCAAGTTTGGTAAAAGGGTATACATGAAGTTGGATTGCAAAATTACTGTTCATTTCTTCGCTATCAATACTAAACTCTGTAGTTTGGATCCTATTAATTTGAGTGATTCTAGTAATCATATATTATCATTTTTTACTACTTTGACCAATTCGCTTCATATTCAAAAATGACTGTATTTTCCGGTGATGCTTTTCATTTCATTTGAGAATTTGAAGTTATCAAAACCCAATGTTATAGTCAAGCCTACTAGTGCTTCTGTTTCCAGTATTATTGGTCATAAACTTCCTATTATTGGTCGTTGTAATTTGTTGGTCAGAGACGATAAATCTTCAATCCTAAATTGTGAATTCCTCGTCACTGATTGTGGACCATCTACCCTGGACCCAGAAAATCTAAGAATTATCCAAGGACAACTTTCCTTACTGACCACTGAAGGTAGTTCTGATGAAACGCTTGATAACCTGTTGATTACAGAATCAAAGTATGAAGATTTAAGCACCACGTTGAAGCCCTATAATTCTAACGCTTAAGCAGAAAACTTCATGGAGTAGTTTTACCTGTTCAAAATTGCACTATTTCGAGAATCCTTAGCAAATCAGTTAGAATACGTCCACTAATCTTACTACTCTCTTTCGTATGTGTTTCACACCCACACTTTGTTTATTTTTTGACACAACCCATAATGTTTATCTTCACGAATTTGTGCATATTAGTGATAATAAGAACGCGAAAGTTGACTTTAACCAGTATATTCACTGGTTGGTATATACTCAGAATCTTACTAATCTGTAAGCATATTAGATCAGACTTCACAAATCATAATAACACCCAATAATGTTTTCTCTGAATAATTTCCCTTAAATGTGGACTTTTTTAACAGGGACTTTTGGCCATCACGTTTATTTCGCATTAGTCTGTATCAAATAGTTGAATCCCTGTTAGACCACGATCGTCACACAGGTAAGCCGTGAAAACTTAAAAAAAGGATATAGTTCGTTTACAATTCCTTAACTCTACTTGTATTAGAGATAAT